ATTTATTTTTGAGACAGGGCCTTGCTCTGTCACCCAGCCTGGAGTGCAGTGGTGGGATCTCAGCTCACTGCAACCTCTGTGTCCTGGGGTTCAAGTGATCCTTCCACCTCAGCCTCCCGAGTAGCTGGGACTACAAGTCCAGATAATTTCTGTATTTTTTTTTTTTTTTTTGTAGAGACAGGGTTTCACCATGTTGCTGAAGCTGGTCTCTAACTCCTACACTCAAGTGATCTGCCTGACATATCATCCCAAAGTGTCGGGATTACAGGCATGAGCCACTGCACCTGACCCCTAACTATTGTCAATAGAGGCCTAAAAATTAGACCTAAGACTCATGAAATAATATATGAACCAATAGCAAATATGCCCATCAACAATAGACTGGATAAAGGAAATGTGGTACATATATACCATGGAATAGTATGCAGTCATAAAAAGGAATGAGTTCATGTCCTTTGTAGGGCCATGGATGAAGTTGGAAGCCATTATCCTCAGCAAACTAACACAGGAACAGAAAACCAAATACTGCATCTTCTCACTTATGAATGGGAGCTAAACAATGAGAGCACATGGACACAGGGTGGGGAACAACACACCTTGGGGCCTGTTGGGAAGGGAGGGTGGGGAGAGGGAGCACATCAGCACAAATAGCTAATGGATGCTGGGCTTAATATCTGGGTGATGGGTTGATAGGTGCAGCAAACCACCATGGCTCACGTTTACCTATGTAACAAACCTGCACATCCTGCACATGGACCCCAAAACTAAAAATAAAAAATTTTTTAAATGATATGTGACTGCACCCAGCTCACCTTGACTACCTCTGCAACTTCTTTGTAAATCTAAAATTATTCCAAATGCAAAATTCATTACACATAGATATTATGTAAAAAATGATATGTGAACATAGAAGTACATCATCAAGAAAGAAAAGTGATTATGTTTTATTGGTCAAATGTGTAAGATTCTGTGTGAACATGAAACATTTTATGTGTACAGAAAATGCTTTTACTCATACCTGTAATCCCAGCACTTTGGGAGGCCAAGGCAGGTGGATCACCTGAGGTTGGGAGTTCGAGACCAGCTGGACCAACATGGAGAAACCCCGTCTCTACTAAAAATACAAAATTAACATGGCATGGTGGCACATGCCTATAATCCCAGCTACTCAGGAGACAGAGGCAGAGGCAGGAGAATCGCTTGAACCCAGGAGGCAGAGGTTGCGGTGAGCTGGTATCGCACAGTTGCACTCCAGCCTGGCAACAAGAATGAAACTCCATCTCGGAAAAAAAAAAGAAAAAAAGAAAATGCTTTATGCTTTTAGAGATATTCTTTTATTAGCATTTAAAGTATTCTGAATATCTGTTTAATTTCCTCTAGAGTTCTATAAATTAAAGAACAATGTGTTGATCGAAGAGCATAAGATTAGCCATTATAAAGAAGATAATATTATGAAAATCGCAAAAAGGCAACATGTTAATCACTTCACAGTTACAAGGAAAAAAATTAGCTTTTTTTTCACTCATCACATTTCAGACAGGCAGCACACAGGCAGGGGTCTTGCTGATCTAATCGCTTCAGCCTCTCCTTTAAAAGAAAGGAGAGATTTTTTTCTAGCCAATCTGAGGCAAAAACTTGGCCTTCAACTAATGGTTTTTTTTCTCTTGTTATTAGTGGTAAACCCCAACTATAACTCTGGGGTTCCCTAGGTTGTTGCCTTTTATTTCAGAAAGTACCACACAGCTTCGAAATCAAAATTAAATTTATCTTTAACTTAAATATCTGCTATTCAAAAAGAATGGAGCCCATTTAGTTCTATGGGGATCAGGTTTCACAAAATCAAACACCCCCATCATAAAACTACAAAAATATATAGAGATAAATAAATAAAATTTAAATGTAAAAAAGCTACTATGATGGGACTAGAGTTTGTGCCACATATAACCATCAAATAATTAAATCATATGTAAAAATAAGAATAAACCTTAGTTTTACCCTTACAGTTGAAGTTTTGTGGCTCATACTCTGTCTCTTCAGCCCCTTTAACATGCCTGCCACTTCTCTATGAACATAGATTACCACCCAGTTCACCCCTCACTACACACACACACACACACACACACACACACACACACACACACTAGTTTTAGTCTTCCAAAAAAGAGCTCAGGGGCAGGCATTGTTTTCTCCTACTTTGCTCTGCACTTGGGATATCAAAAACCCAAGCCCAAGCCCAGGATCCATTATCTCTCCTTCTACTCACAGTAAATCTTCCTACATTTCATAAGTATTTAATGAGCATTTACTATGTGCCAGACACAGTTCTAGCTGTGGGAAATAAACCACAGCCAAATTAGACACACTCTTCATTCTTTCTGATATTATAGTTAACTAAAGGGGACAGATATTAATCAAATAGTTCAATATATATCAGTGTGGACCAACAGTGTCGATTATGAATGAGAGAGTTATAGGCCACATGAGATTACAAACCAGAGAATCTGACCAAGTTAGAGAAGACCAAGAAGGCTTCTCTAGGATGTGACACTTAAATTGGGATGCAGAGGAAGGGGAGTCACTAATGAGGCAGGGAAGGGAAGGAGTAACACTCTATGATGAAGCCCAAGTGAAATTTCAACTGGGAGCTGAGGTTAAGTAAGTCCTGCCATTTAATTAAGTAGAAGGTTTTCTGTTCCTTTTTATCACATATTCATTCATTTATTGATTTAATTAATAAAATTTTTGTGGATTTGTTAAGGCAGCAGAGGTATCAAGAATGAGGAGCAAATAGGACATCAAAAGCACAAACAATGAAAGCAAAATTAGACAAATGGGACATCATCAAATTTAAATATGTCTGTGCCTCAGAAGAATCAACAGAATAACAAAAATCAACCTACAGAATGGGAGAATATATTTTCACATCACATATCTGATAAGGGGTCATTGTGAGTTACCTCTGGGACCATTTCCTGGTCTCTCTTGAAGCCTCCTTTTTTCCCCTTCTTTCTTCTTTGTGAGTGAGATTTCATCCCTCTGTTTTTTCTCCATACTCTCTTTATCAGGGACCTCATTCATTCTCAAGGTATCTGCCATCATCTCTGCAGAGAAATTCTAAAGCCACATCTCTCTTCTAATTACTTTTCTAACATTTTTCACCACATACCAAACATTTCATTCATTCAACCAATATTTACTGAGCACCTACTATGTGCCAGGCATTGTTCTAGGCTGTGGAGATACAAGTAGTAAGCAAGATCAGCCTTCTTACAGAGGAGCCAGTCAAAACAAACATATCCATAGTTGATATAATTTCATGTAGTGATGCTATTCTGAGAAGAAAAAGGTAATTACATTTTAGGAACAATTGCGGGAAGAAGAGGGTGATTTTCTTTTATCTTTTTTCCACAAAGCATAGTTTCCTGCCTCCTAGTACCTATCTCTTCTAAAGGTAGCATTTTCTCCCATCTTCGATCCTTGATTCCTCCAGGTTTTGTGCTTTTGTTTTTTTTTTTTTTTTTTGCCAAATTCTATTATCTCTTCAAAGTGTCCACAAATGCATCTCCTCCTCACTTTTCCAGAATCCCACAGACACCCATCACCTCATGCCTAGACAGCTGCAATGACTTCCTAATTGGTCTCCTTACCTCTAATCTCTACACACTTTTCTCCCTCACCCCCTTCCACTTTCTAGCCTGTGTAGATTATTCTTCCTAGGATGTCACTGCCCCCATCACATCACTTTTCAACTCCACTTGGAGTTCCAGGACCACAGTGAGGTGTCCTGAATAAATACCTGGGCTTTAGAGTCAGGCAGCCTGGAATGGATAGTTTGTGTGTGCCTCAGGTTCCTCTCTGTAAAATGCAGATGGTAATTCTCGGCCCATGAGAGGTCATCAGAGGGAAATGAGAGGAGGTGTGGGAAGCACCAGTTCAATTCCCGGCTGGGGGACTCTCACAACGGAGACAGCGTCCGACCCTTGGTGAGTCAAGACAGTCCATCACGCTCTTGTTGCAATCCTTTAGAATGCCTTTGGTGATGAACTGCCATGTTAATGTCATTTTTCTTATCTCTCCAACTAGTCTGACAATTCTCTTAGGAAAGCTGAGGCTTTTCTACTCAAAACCTCAGGGAATTCTGCACATAGTAGGCATTCTGGACTGCCTTCATGATTGGGCAAGTTGGGCCTGCATCAGAGTGCCTGGCCAGGGTGGCAAGTTGGGCTGAAAGGCAGGATGTAGGTGTCCATGCTCTCCTCTCAAGTTGGAACTGAAATTTCAACCCTGTGAAGACCTCCCTGACACCTCCCTGTGCCCACTGCTCTTTGGTGACACACAAAATTGTTGATAATCATCGGTCTGTGCGTCTCTCTTCTAGTCAGGCTGTGCTTCCTAGGGGCCAGTGCTCTGTGTTCATATAGTTAATTCAGGTACCTGGTACTTAGAAAAAAGTACAATAATGGTTACAGAATGCAAGATGACTTTCAAGGAAAGTTCGAATGAGAGGCAGAAAACGTACAGCATTAGGACAGAGTTACACATAAAATTTAGAAAGGAGACTTGAAGTGGGAGGAGTGCGGAGGCTGTGATTCCCAGTTACTACTCCGAGTGTGACCATTAAAATGCTAGCTCAACCATAAGGTGCAAAAGACCTACAAAGCGGAATCTTCACATCCATGGATGACTACAGACTTTGTTATAATCTGTTACTTTTTTATTTTTAAAAATACTATTTTATTTATATTCACATATCAAAAATGGTTATGCTATCATGTTTACATACATACTAATACTAGGGAACAGAATTCAGTAACAAATTACATTTAAACTTTATAAAGCACATACAAACATTAAAACACTGATTGGTTACAGAAAGCAGAGTTTGAGGGAAAACCGTTCGCTATAGTTTTCATTTTCATTAAAGAGCAGCACCCTCTGAGAAGAATCAAACCAATCAGTAATAGTCATCTAGACAGCAAAGTAGTAAGTACAAAGGAAAGTTAGTGATTGTACTGATTTTATTACTTTTAGTAAGCCATTTTATGTTCCTCACACTCAATGTGAAGAAACAAAACATAATCTGAAGGAAAATATGTCCTTATTATTATTCATAATAAGAAATCTGCTTCATTCTGCAGGCCTAGGCAGATTGTACATTAAGGAGCACTTAATGACTCAAGTGGACCAACGTACCAGTTTGATTTTGATCCACGGAATAGAATTGCATCCATATTTGGTGGCTGGACTAACTCCATGGGCGCTGTGACAGGCTGAACCATTTTTGTGGTATCCACAGATCTCACTAAATAAGAAAAGACCCTACACCAGAAAATATATCAATCTGTCCATAAATTATATCTATATGCTTGCTCTTCAGTATAAGTTAGAAAAAGGGGCGCTTTCTTGAGCACACGGATAAAAGTATTGTGGTCTAAAGATTGCTGGATTGATACTGTGTTGTTATAATAAAGATAAGGTACACACTGAAACCACTGTCCGATTAAGAAACTTCCACAACTTGTCTCAATTCTTCAAATAATGGAGCAAGTTTCTTTTCTAGGCTGACAATTAGTCCTGTATTGGCATGGCTGCGGGCTATCAAACTCACCACCAAATTTAATTGAATCACCTGGTAGGTGTAACAGTAACAGCTGATACTTTTATTTTTTGAAAGTCCAAGTTTGCTCCCTCGGTCTGTTGCAAGGGCAAAAGCAGATAAGAAACCAGGTCTCAAAGCATGCTCTGGAGCATTATCATCGGCCACTTTAATAAGGGGTACTCCAACTCTGTCTGACACAATAGCATGGAGCCCTTCAACACTTGGTAACATTTTATATATGAATCCCTTTAAGTCATCCGCCATGATGAGCCCCCTTCTCTTGCAGGATCAATTTCCATGCCTGAGTTTTTTGGGCTGCCCGGATCTTTTCCCTGTCACTTCAGGGACAGCTTCAAAGACCACAGTCTGGTTTTATGCTGGGTATATGGCAAATGCAAAGAATTGGCCCTCTTTTGGGGAAACGAAGCTGCGCTTTCTACCACTGTTTTATAGGCTGAGGGAGCTCATGTTAGACCAAGACTTTACAACCTTTCAGGTAACAGATCTCGGTTTTGCCGTGGTTTTGAGGTCCTGAACCAAAATTTCACTGCGTGTTCTACCAAATCACAATCTCTGAGTCTCTCCTCTCATATGATTTCCGTAACAGAAAGTTTTGGTGGAAGTTCTATTAAGCAGTGAAACCACAACCAATCAAGAAAGCACCGAGAAAGATAAAGCAAAGTCTAGCTTTCCATTAACCAGGACAGTCAGCTTCTTTAAAATGGAGTGTCAACACTGCACATTCTGTCCTAGGCGAACAATTTTCTCCTTCTTGGAACTCACCAGATCTTACTGTTCTTGGGTGTAATGAATTAGCTTTCTACACTAGCCTTGAGGAATACATGAGAGGAATTATATCAGTGACAGACTAATATTTAAGCAGGAAAAAGTAATCACCGTGCAGAAATATCCTGGTATGTAAATGAGAACGTACAGAAAAAGGCAGACTAGACCAAAGCCTTGCCAAGAGAATTCCGCGAACTGAAAAAGACTCCACGCCAGAAGCAGGAGCCAGCGCTGCAGAGGTTACAATTTCTTTCTCTGCTTTGTGTCCTCCGCATTGTGCTCATATACCAGAAGAAAACTGAGATAGTAATTGGGCCATTTCTTTTCTTGATTTAATTTTACAAAACTTGAGCCACAAGGTATCAATTCTGAGGCCCTAATTAGTTTACTGGCAATGAAGTCCACATCCAGCATAATCCTTAAAATATAAGCTGTAGCCCTTACCAGTCCCGCTGTTTGCTGGTGTTTCTCACCCAGCACAATCTCAGACCGAACACTTCGCCGGGAGCAGAGGTATCTGGGACCGTGTAGAAAGACGAGTTTGAGGTTAAGGCATGGTATTTAAGGTTCTGCTACAAATGCTGTTTTAAACAAATCACGGTTCAACTACAACGGTATAATAATGCAAAAATAGCATCTGCTATGAAGAAAGTGCAGTGCTTTGAGAACTAGAAAAAGCAGTGAAATCCAAGGCCTTGCTTTACAAGTCAGAGCAGCTATCTCGGCCTTCTGGAGGTGTGACTTTCCTACACACAGGAGCAAGTTGAAAACTGCCCTGTGTGGCTTTATTCTCCGTTCACCCCTGTAGCAAATGCCTTTTCTGTGAGGAGCTACGGGGCTGATGGGGAATCAGAGGTGGTTCCTCCTAAGTGGCATTTCTGAGTGGGTTCCAGGAGTCCACAGCGACCTTAGGAGGCTGCTACCTGGGGGGCAGCCAGGGCGTGAGATGAGAAAGTTGTACATTAACATTTCTGTGTGCCCATAACGTTGTATCTTTTATTAGATTAGATAATATATCTCATATGCTGGGTTGTTAAGCAAATAAATATGCGTAAGGAAATTACAATCCACATAATTACATGAGTCGTTTTAACCATCACTTACCCTCAGAGTGGTTAGATTTTCTTGTGCCTATGCCAGTGCACTGTCAACGCGGGTAGAATCGCCTTTACTCCGAAAAGCAAATGAGGAACAAATAGGGCCAGTGAGAGTCACCATCAGGGCCCAGAAACACGATAGAAACAGCGACTCAGTGGGGTCTCCAGACTGATGGGCGGGTGACCCTGTATTCCTGTTGGGCTGACAACCCTTCTAAGGCTTCGGGCTCCAGGTGCTGGCAACAAGTCTCAGAGGCCGGGTGGGAGAGGGAGACGCGAGGCGACCCACGCAGGCAGAAGGCTGCCTCATCCCACGCCAGGACCCCCCAGCAGGCCGGGGTTGCAGGCAGGGGCCGAGCCTGGGGTCACGCAGGGGGAAGGAGAGGGCAGCTCGGGGCTATGGGTGGGGCGGAGGCGAGAGCCGAGCTTACTCCCCCCACCCCGCCCCCGCGCCGCGAGTTTCCGCGCACGTGGCCGTGGGGCCGGCCTCGCACTCGCCCCCCGCGGGGGCCCGCGCAGCCCCCTCCTCTGCGGCTCCCGGAGGGGCCAGCGCGCACGGCGACGGGCGGGGGCGGGCCGCGAGCAGGGCTCCCTGGCCGCTTTCCAGGTCGGCGCACTAATACGGGCGATGAGGCTTCGCGGCTCCAGTCTGACTGACGCCGGCTGGGGCCGCCGCCGCCGCTGCAGCCGCTGTCTCGGTCCCCGCCGCCGCCGGGCCCTGCAGGCGCTGGGCGCGCGCAGCCAGGCAGTGAGTGCGCGGCGCTAGGCGCGGGCGGCCGGGGGACCACCGCGGGGGCGGGGTGGGGGGCGCCGGACCTGGGTGGGGGAGGGATGAGCGGTACCGCGGGGACAGGTAAGACGCGCCCTCCCCGGCCGCGCGCTGCTTGTGTGCGTGCGTGTGAGCGCGTGGAGTGGAGGGCGAAGTTGTTGGTCCTCGGGCAGCCGGGGAGGCTCCCCCGCGTGTGGCTGGGCGCTCGCCGTCCCGGTGTTTCTCGCTGGAGCCTGTCTGGGGCGGGGTGGGCTCGGGGCAGGAGGGGACCGCTCCGGGAGTTGGCCGCGGCGCCGCGCGTCTTCCTTGCGCCTGCATCCGCCCGCGCCGCGGGCCCCGGGACCTGTCAGGGGATGCTCGTCCCGTGGCGGGGGCGGGGGCGGGGGCGGCGGCCGGGCCGGGGCTGGGGCCCGGGGCGTGGGCAGGGACCAGGACAGTCGCCTGAGGAGCTGCTTGCTGTAGCTGGAGAGCGGGGACCGCGGACAGAGGGGGCGGCGGGGGTGGTCACTGTGACTCTTTGGGGGCCGCTTTTAAACTCGCCAGGGCCGAGTTGGCCTCACTGGCCTTCTGTTTCAGAGGCTTTTCGCTTTGTTTACCTTTGAGGCATGCGAAGTGAGAAAAAAAAAAGTTAGGAATGTTGTTCAAGTGTCTCCGGGCTCGCGCTTGGACTGCGTCGGAACCGGGTGTTTGTCTTTTCATTGGCCCACCCCTCGGTGCCAGCTCTCTGCAGAGGGGAGGGGGCGAGGTGGGGCGCAGATACAGGAGACTGCCTGACGCCAGCTTTGTGATCGGAAGGAGGAGCGCGGGGAAAACATTTTTATGGATGGCTAATCGCTGACAAGTCTTCCCGTTACTATTGCTTCCTCCTCCCGCCCCTGACTGTGGACATTTGAAATGATAGTTTGGAAATATCCCGTTGACTTATTTTCTGGGCTGGCGTGGGTACTCCTGAGGACAGACCTAGAAATGATACAAATCGGTTTGGGGATAAAATTGTATGTAAATTCTTTACCCTGTAGTTCACAGTGAGATACCCATAGGGCATTATGGCGTGCTTTGGATGGATCCAGTTTGCTAGTACCATTTCGGTGCCTTGCCAGATTTCTCGGATGGATGATTTTTTGGAAATGTAGGTTAGCAAGAAGCATGGAGGCTGACCGTAAAGTCGTGAGGCATTTAATAATGCTGTCTCCTAAGCAGTCACTGAGTGGAACGTTTGTGGCACCCTGGGTAAGTGAAATGTGACTACTACAAGCATATCTCCTGCCTAAGCATTCCTCCAAGTGCGAGGGAATGCCTTTGGATGTTTACATTTTAAAAATAGTGATCTATATTTAAGAAGGCATTTAAAATAAAAGCCAAAGACATTCTCAACTCCAAATAGAAAAGATTCAATAAAGGAGTTTTCCTGTGTTTGTAGGAGACCATCAACACAATTTTAGACTGCTTTCAAGTTTGTGGTTATCCAAGAAGGACGCTTCAGATAAGAAAATGATGTAGCTCTTTATAAACAAAGAGCATTTTAAATATAAGATGACAGAAATTTCAACTACTATATCCCAAAAAACAACCTTTAGTGGTAATAGTCACCTTCATTGATGGCAAGACAACTATCTTTACCAGACAGCCTTCGGCCTCTTAATGTATTCCCACACAACCAATTCCCATTTTTATGCTTGACTGGTTATCTTTGTCAGAGCTGTTTAATGCTTGAGCTCTGTGGTTTCAAACTATGCTTAAGAGAATGCCAACATACTCTTGATCTGAACAAACTCATTTCTATCAGTGCAGTGTTTACGAAAAATCAAAGATGTAAACAAATTTTGGGTTAAACTAAGTACTTTAGAATTACCACATCGTTATCAGTCTTTCAAAGTCAACATGAACTATTTGGCTCTTCTCCTTTTAAAATCTTTTTTTTAACTTATATATTCATAGTTAATGAGTAATCGGAAAATACAGATGTCAACTCTTGCATCTCTGATTACCCAAGACGTGGGATGAGAAAGACAAGTTTTGTTTTTTAAATGAAACAGTACGAAAGCTATCAATAAGTAATAAACAACTGGTACACTATTTATCTTCACTAACATGTAGTCAGTTGGAGGGAAAAAGGTCTGTCCACAAATTGTTTTATAAAGATGAAAATATTCAACCTGTTTTACAAATAGTTTAATTCTGATTAATGAGAGTGCAATATGCGTTGCGAGACTTGAGGGACGGTGTTCGGAAGTGATCACTATAGCACTAAGGTAACTAGTTTCTATCTGACATTCTCCCTGTAATAAGACAGCAGTTTCATCATGTTCTGCTTTAATATGTGGGAAATAATCCTTATCCACAGGATATACTCTGATTTAGGGGAAGATAAAGGTTATGAGAAATAACGTGGTTTTTCTGATTTGCCAAACATGCTATGCTGAATTTTAAAGCTTTAATGAAACTTAGTGCAGACTTAATGTATGTTGTTTTGGACACTTAGAGAGGAATTAAAAAATGGGAAACTGTCCAGAATAAAACAGTAAATATAGCAGTACGTTGAATCCATGAATCTTCTCAAATAGTTGTAATTCTAGGCTGTTGGATTTATATTTCCTTGCTTACTGTTGCTAGTGAGTTGAAAAGTTATTCTAAAGCAAAAAAAAAAAAAAAAAATGCAAAAGGTAAATGCATAAGTACTTACAATAGTGTGGGCATTTTCACAGTGTTT